TGAGCTAAGAACAAACACAAAACAGTCTCTGCCCTCAAGGAACTCACACTCTATTAAGGAAGAACAACGTGATAAATAAATAAATGAATGCAAAATACATGCCAAGCAAATAATAAGTAATTTCCAGGGCAGGGTGGGAAGTGACAATTGGAGGGAACTAAGATAGACCTGCTATAAGCAGTGAGTGAAGTCTCACAAGAAGCTATGGATTCTATAGGCAAAGATGCAAACATGAAAGTATTTAAAGCTTCCAGAGGCGAGGTTGAAGAGCTACATTAATTCAGTGGTTGTTTTTACTATTATTAATATCATCACTGAAGCTTACAAAGCATTTTCCTCACAACCTAGAGAGGTAGATAGGGCAAGTATCACTACAGAAGGAGAAACTGAGTCCCCCTGAAGTTCAAATGCCTTGTCTGTGACCATACAATTGTATGAGTGAGAATTTAAACCTGGTTCGGATCCGTGACTTGACAACTAACCTAGTTCTAACCTCCTTATTTTGCAGGTGAAGGAACAGGCCCAGAGATGGCAAATGATTGTCTAAAGCCACACAGCTAGTTAGTGACTGGGCCAGGCTGCCTGACTCCTAGGCTAGCGCTCAGCCCTGCTCTCAATCACCAGCTATTCTCCAGAATCAGCCCCCAAGCTGGAGTTGCCCATCAGTCCCAGGTTGTTCATGCCAAATGTGACATGCCGGGGGTTACTGACTATAACATTGTGAATTGGCAAGGAGACTGCGTGTCAGCTGCTGCCCTCATCCACTGGCTATAATATGTGATTTCTATAAAACCCAATATGAGAACAGACAGTGATCTTCGAGGGCACTAGAGGGGGAAGGCGTTTATTTATAGCTTGTTTGTAGACATGTGAATGTCTACAAAGACTTTCGAGGGATGCAAAGGGAGGCCTTGGCTTTTGCTAAAGCTGTTGATGCCCAGGCTTGGATTCATTGACAGGGATGGGCATGCATGCGTGCTCAGTTACAGACACAGTTTTTGGCTCTTATATACTTGTCAGCATCCTCAAATGGAGGTGAAAAGGCACTTGGTATGTGTTCTAGTGGAAAGAATAGTACGCTGAGAATCTTAGGAGACCCAAGTTATCCCTTTGTCTTTGCCACGGCTTCCCTGGGTGACTTTGTAAAGGTAACTGCTCTTGCCTGGGCCTCAGGGTCCTCATCTGTAAAACTGGGAGGAGAGTTGGACACGATGATCTTTAAAGTCCCTTTTAGCTGTGATATTATGTTATTCTAGTTTAGGTCCTTAAAAGTTCGGGTGGAGAGTGGGAGAAAGTGTCCCACTAGAAAATCATGACTTAGAGATTTTGGATATTTGTGCTTTGTCTTCATCCCTGAAACCAATCAAGAGTTTGTAATGATTTTCTGCCATCCCTTGATGGGGAAGACCCAAGCTAGGTATGGAGAAAAGGTCTCATGTTTGTGAATGAATAGCTGGGGAAACTGTGCCACCAACCAATCTGATGAAAAAATTGCAAAGTTGCAGTGACTGTCCGAACATTTCCAAATATCTGTATCTTGGTGCTGTGTGAATCAAACATCCAGTATTTGACTGATTTTTTTTTTCAAAGGTTCAGTTTCATGCAGACACACCATGGACCCATCCTCCAGACTAGGTCTGAAAGTGTTGCTACTTTGAGTGGTCACTGAAGCCCAGCCTGCTCGAATACTGACCAGACCCATCCCCCTAACCCTGCCCTATATTCACATTCGAAGAGTTAATAGAAAGGGGAATGTGGCCAGGGAGCATCATAAATCTGGTGGATTTAAATAAAAATGAGGCTGGAAAGAATGGAGTTGACCTAATTTTCTAAAAATTGACGATAGTGATTTATTAACGAGGACAAGGAAGTCACTGAAAAGTGGCACTGTCATGCCCACTTATAGTCTCATCGAGTGCCAGGCACTGCTGCCTGGATTTGAATTACATTCAAGAAAGATGTGAAGCAAGTTCTCCAGTCAGGGTTTGGCACTGAGCGGCTAATTCTTGAAGAATATATTGAAGTGGCTAGATCAGTGGGAGTGCCCCACGTACGGTAGCATCTTCCTCCCCATAGCCCTTCTCCTTTGTTGTCCTTCAGGGTTCCATCCTGATGTTTCTCACTGAGATTCCTTTTCATTGTTGTTGTCATTTCAGTTGTGCCCCATTCTTCGTGACTCCATTTGGGGTTTTCCTTGCAAAGATACTAGAGTGGTTTGTTATTTCCTTCTCTAACTCATTTTACAGATGAAGAAACTAAGGCCAAAAAAAAAGGTGACTTGTCCAGGGTCACACAGATACTAAGTGTCTGAGGCCAGACTTGAACTCTCATAGATGAGTCTTCTTGACTCCAGGCCCTGGCACTCCATCCACTGTACCACCTAACTGCCCCGATATTCCTTTTTAGGTCAGCAATTTCCAACTAATTCCCGATTTTTTTCAACATCCCTCTGAGGAGAAACAATATGACTTGGGATGAATTTAGATCCAATTTTAATAGATGCTATTCATCCATTTGCTCATTCATGTATTAAGTTAAAATATAAAGCAATTTATAAGTGTCAGTCAGTCAAAGCATTCATTAAGTACCTACTATGTGCCAGGCAGTACACTAAGTAGAGAAGTCAGCGTGGGTTTCCATGACTGCAGTGGTGGATGCATGTTGGGCAAGTGGGAAAGATAAGGAAAGATCTGGCATATGGCAGACCCTGCCAGCTAGGTCTGGAGACCATAGGATCATAGATATAGATCTGGTAGTCAGTTTAAAGATCATCAAATCCCAAACCCCTCATTTTATAGATGAGGAAATTGTGGTTAAGAGAAGTTGTGGTTTGCCCAGGGTCATACAACTCCTAAGTCTCTAAGGTGAGATTTGAACCCAGATCTTCCCAATTCCAAATCCAGTACTCTACCCATGATGCCTCTTCACTTCATATATTGCCTTGGAGCTGCTTCAGGCAACCAGGTGACATGGTAGAGAGCAATGTAATTAGAGTCAAGAAGACCTAATGCTCTCACTCTTTCTTCGGTAAATTTAATTCAAAATTTATTGAATGCTTACTGTGTGTGAAGCATTATGCTGGGTGTTGGGGATGGAAATGCAATTAACACAACCAGTCCCTGCCTTTAAGAAACTTGTTTTCCAATGTGGAAACATATCACGGGCAGTGATCAGTAAATACGGTATCAGGTATTTTGAGGAACTTTCTATCCGGCCCTTGCCTTGGGCAGAATTGTCACATAGGCAAAGTGTCAGCCCTAACTTCCATTCTGCACCCCTCAGGCACCCAAAGCCCTCTCCCATCACCCCATCCCCAATTCCCCTCCTCATCAAGACCCTGCTCTCAGGAAAGGATCTGGTATCTTTCATTTCCACCATCATTTGAATTTCTCATTGAGCTTTACTACTCGGGGAAATCGGCATTTAAAAATCCTAATGTCTCACTACTGAATAAAAAAGATTTTAGGCATCTTCCATAAAGGAGAGCAAAAGATTTGAGGGCACAGAAGGGTATCATCTGCAGCCCAAAGATCACATAAGGAAGCAGAAATCGATTTCATCTACAAACCAGGTCCACCCTTTGTCTGAAATCCTTTGTCTGATGCTGCTTATCATTCTCATCATAAGCAGACTGCTTTTCTTTAGCATTCATTGTTTACAGTACTATACCAAGAGGTCTGAACAGACTGGGGCTCTGCCCTCGGGTAGCCCAGAGTCTGGGACAGAAAGGGACAGAAAGTCTAGATATATAAGGAGAGGACATGCATATCCCAGAACGGATACAGTATCACTCAGTTATGAAGGAACAGTGAGGCATATGGTTTGGATGAGGCGGGGGTCACAAGACATCATGGTACAGTGGACAAAGGACTGGATTTGGAGTCAGAGCACCTTAGTTTGAATCTCAGCTCTGCCACTTACTATCCCTAAAACTTTGCCCAAGTCCTTAGACCTCTTTGGGACTCATTTTCCTTATCTATAAAAAGAAGGGATTGATTAGATGGCCTCTTCAGTTCTTTCTGACTTTCATTTGATGATCCTGTATTACGATCCTATCCAAGGTAACTGAAAAAGAAGGTTGACGTTCTTAGATGCAAACTTGCCCCACCAAGGCATACCAGAATCCCCAGCCTCACAGTTCAGACTGATTGGTAGAATAACTTGGCCTCATTCTAGATCACATCCTGTTGTAGGCAGCAGCAGAGCAGGAGAGGGAGAAGGGATTTTCCCAGCCAGATGGGGAACAGGTGGCATGGCAGTGGGTGGCCTCCGATTAGTGCCCATGGCTGGCAAAGTGGCCAGGCCACAGAGCATGTGGCTCTGAAACAAAAGCAGCAGGAGCTTCCCACCCCCTCCTCCACCCTAGATGCCACCCCTCCCAGCCCTCTGGGAGGTAACTTCCCAAGATAATGATGCCAAGCTGCTTGGCAGAGAAGCCAGGAAGCAGGCAGGGCCACTCGCCAAAGCTCAGGTGCATCCCTAACCCATCTGCCAGCCTGGCTTGGTTGACAGGAGGAGCCAGGGCTCCCAGCAGGGTCATGGTGTGTGGCTTCAGCAAAGGGCTCTAGAACTCTACACATAAGGGTAGTGCGCTATCTCTCTCTGTCTCTGTCTCTGTCTCTGTCTCTCTCTCTCTCTCTCTCTCTCTCTGTCTGTCTCTCTCTGTCTCTCTCTCTCTCTCTCTCTCTCTCTCTCATCTCTGCCCTTCACACCAACAATCAAACAGGTCATCAGACATTCCAGTCCCAATCCTCCCAGCCTCAAAAAACTCACAGGGTAGAATGAGGGAGGAGAGAACCCTGAGGAAAGGAATTGAGCTTTCCAGAGACCTGCTGGGGGAGGCATTGAAGACACAGCCAACTCTCTCCAAACACATCTTGATGCTCTCTGGAAAACACAGGCACGTTTCCTCTACTTTGTGCCCCCTTAAGGCCCTCCCAAGGCCAGCACGTCCACTGCAGGCATCACTAACCTGGGATATCTCCCCTTCTTTCCTTCAGGGCCGGGATTGCACCATGCCCATCAATACGTGTATCCAGAATCCCTGTGAGCACGGAGGGACCTGCCACCTCAGCGAGACCAGCAGGAATGGATTCAGGTAGCAGGAGCTGCTAAGGCGCTCTCCCTCACCCACCAAAGGGGTCTCAGACTTCAGCAGGAAAGTTTTAAGTTAAAATCCCCTGGGATCTAAACAGACAACTGCAGGAGACATCAGGATGACCTCCCAAGGTCCTTCCCATCTTGCCTTGTGGCAGTCAGAGTGTGGGTGACGGAGCATGACTGAGGCTTGAAGTCGCACCTGTCCTGGCCTTGGCCTAGAATTCCCCTACCTCACTCAGATCCACCTCAGCTTTTCCTCCCATAGAGACTGGCTGAGTACCTATGATCATCCTCCCTTCTCTTCTCTTCACCTTGTAATCAATCAGTAAACATTTAATAAGCACCATGCTAAGTGCTTGGAATTCTCCACTCTAGCTCAGTGGTCTAAAGCATTAAGACCTCAGGATTGAGGACGATGAGACCATTTGAACCTGGAGAAGGGGGGTTGCCCAACCAAGGGGCTCAGCTCCTACCTCTCCCAGACCCTTGGGCACCCTGTCCAGCAGGCCCAGGCTCTGCTAAAGAGTGAATTTTGAGGGCCCTGTTTTATGAAGCTATGGACTCAGAAGGCAGAAGCCTCAGTAAGGGGTGCAGACTAGGGGTTCTGAAATTTGAACCTATCAAGAGAGTGGAAATTCAACCCACAGCTGCCCCAGGGGCTTGAGATGAGTTTGCCAGCAGGCAGAGGAGAGGGCGTAGAGGCAGTTTGATGTCAAATTCTCTGAAACCATCACAGCCAAGAGGGAAAAATAAGTGACTATCAGAGGCATTACGGGAAGAGGCCCTCTTAGCCTGTCTACTGTGTGGTCTGTGAAAGAAATTATCTTTTTTCTCTCTGTTCCTCTCCCTGGAGGTCCAAGCCTGTACATAGGTTCGCCTGCCAAGCCTGTCAAATCTTTGCTCTTATAAACTGAAACTTAAGCTGAGGTTAGTTTTCCTGCCTGAGAAATGCCAAGCCACCCACTCCCTAGTGCTGGGGCTCACAGATAGGCAGTGAATGGGGGTGAAATGAGACCACATGGAAATCATAGGGAGGTGGTGACATGGACAGGCCAGAGGCAGGAAATGCACCTCAAGGGCTGAAACCTCATCCTTAGGCCCTGTGCCCACCCAAGGGATCCACGGGTGAGCAAAAGGTTGCTTCGCAGTGTGAGGGACTCCATTTCCCACACCTGGCCGGTTAGGTGAAAACTTAGCCGGTGGTATGGTACAGGGGGTCTTGGTTCCATCCCCAGTAGTTGAGAGACTTAAGTTTATTTTTCTAACTTAGAAACAACTTTTGGAGCTGTTTTGTGGGTATGTGTGTGCTTGGTTTTTCTTAAGGAAAAGTCCTAGGTATAACAAGACTAGAATTTGGTAGATTCTTATTCTGTGTTTCTGGGATAGACCCAGATTTCCGCTGAGGGTAAACCATTTCTTTTTGTTAGCCAGAGTTAGAAAGCATCTCCCTCACGGAGCAAAAAGTCATTTAGTGAGGGCCCTGGGGTAGGAAGACTAACAATGCTTATAGTTTTCAAGGTGGGCATTGCAGGTGGGGTGGGGCCAGAGTGACAGTGAGCAACCAAGTCTTGAGCCTCTGGACCCACTGGCCAAGCATCATGGTGACATGCTTGCTCAGCTTTGGGGAGGATATTACTGTTTGGCCCAGGATATAAAATAACTCTCTTTCTTTAGGTCAGGAGCATATGGCGGGGAGGTGAGGGGGGGTGGCTGGTCAAGGGGAGCTTCCTGGATTGTCCTAGAAATATCTAGAGATTCTGAATTAAAGGCTCCCCAAAAGGTTATATTCTTTCAACCAATCAGTTCATAAAGCACCGGCTTTAGAGTGAGAAGAGCTGACTTTGAATCCCAGCTGTGCTACTCACTGCCTGTGCTCCCCTGAGCACAATCACTTCACCTATCTGGGAGGCAGTTTTCTCATCTGTGACATGAGGGGACTGGACTAGTGTCAAATTCAAATAGAAATGGGGGCCACCAAACCATAAGGATCCCTGTGACCTACATGTTGACTTAGAAAATGACATATTAATATTATCTATATTCTATTGTATTTTTATTTATTTTGTTAAATACTTCCCTATTAGATTTTAATCTGATTCGGGCCACTCAGAAGTATTGGGGGAGGCAGGTAACCTGCAGGCAGCATGTTTGACCCCTCTGGACTTCCTTCCAGCTCTCAACACATGAGCCAGCCCTGAAGAGGGCAATCTCTAAGCCTGAAGCCATTAGCATGACCCCCCTCTTTCTAAGGCTCACTGGGATTCCCTTCAGGGAAGGAAGCTCTCCACACACACTCACACATTCCTGCCCCCATGGACACACACACACAGTCCAATCAGCAAAACGCTGCTTCTCTCTACTTTGCAGCTCTCTCTACTACATCTCCCCCCACCCCAAGCTCCACCCCCAAGCAATCATAAGAACTTAAATAAATGATAAATAAAAATAAGTTAATAACTTTGACTCAGTCCTCCTGAAAGTCAAGACTTTCTGCCTAGCCCAGCTATAAGACCTTTTTTTCCCCCCTCTAAAACCTCCTGTCTGACCCATGGCATGTGACCAACCAGGTGATTTGTGGGAAGAGAGAATGTGGAGAGGGAGAGGCAGGGGCACTTTTGCATGACAGGCCTACATGTGCTCAGACCAAACATCCCCTGCTGTGGTAGCAAGAATGTAGTATGTCCAAGGGAAGAGGGTCAGCAACTGGGCAAAGATGAGTGGTAGCATGGTACAGTACCAAAGGCGCTAAGACCTTGGTTCAGAGCCTGGTTCCATGTAACCTTGGGCAAGTCACTTAGGATCCTAGATCTAGCACTGAGAGGGATCTCTTTAGATGTCATTGGGTCCATCGTCTTCATTTTATAGGTGAGGAAAATGAGGCCTACAGAATTCAAGTGACATATTCATGGCTGCATAGGTAGTAAGTGGGTGTGAATGAAGGTCCTCTTATCATGATGGTCTTTGTCTCTAAAGCTCTTCCCCACTGGTCTATGCTGGCTCTGCCTCTCGCTTCATTTCCCGGATCCTAATATCTCATTGTTAAGATGAGGTAATTGGACTAGATGATTTCCAAGGTCCCTTTCAACCCTAAATTTATGATCCTGTGCATTTCAGGAGTCAGCCCAAGTTGTCTAGTTTTCCTAATTTTGTAAACTGACTCCTAAGTCAGTTCAGCACACTTGAATAGGGAGAGCCAGGGTACCACATTTCATCTCAGAACACATTTTTATGGACAAGGTATAAATCTTCAGTGTATAGACTCAGAGTCTGGTCATAGCAATGGTGACGAGCTGACTACACTGGTTATTTATAAATGAGGGAGGCCTTTTCCCCATTACCTTGAACCATAGCTCCCCACATCCCCAGGGCTGCTAGACCCAATTGCTCTGCCTTATCTCACTGCTGTGATCCAAGGGAGGAGAGCAAGGTCAGGCAAAGGACAGGTCATTGGCTGTTAGGATTTTTTTTAATTTTAAGATTATTAATAAGATAAAGACAAGTAAAGAAAATACTTTGCTCTGATTAATGATGGTTTAAGCTCAGTGGTTCCTGGCTCCATAGCTATCCTCCCTCCTCATCTCCTTGACGTGACAGACACCGGAGAGAGCTCAGAAGTAAGCAAGGACAATAAATTATGAGGTGTGAACGTGGCATGTCTGAAGCATAGTTAAAGGAGAGGTTGGAGAAGTCGAGTCTAGAAAGGCAACAAAGAAATTGTCTGGAAGCATCAGAGCTACTCTAAAGAGGCGAGGGATCGGCGGTCCTCTCACTCTGCAAAGGACAGAACTTAAGGACCAGGGAAGGAGAATCCAAATGCAGCTGGGAGCATTTAAGTTAGATCGAAGAAAGAACTTACTGCTAAGGGAAGACCCAGAGAAGGCTCCCAAGGGCAGTTCAGGGAGCTCCATCCTTGGGTATCCATGAGAATAGCAAAGGTAGCCCTAAGTTTGGAAAAGGGAAAGAGATGAAGTCTTGCCCATGAGATCTTCCAGCTAGAGCTAGAAAGGACCTCTGAGGTCACCTAGTCCAATCCCGTATTTAATAGATTGGGAAATAAGGCCTAGAAACATAGAATAATTTGCCCCACAGGCAGTAAATGGCAGACACAGGTCCTCTAACTCCACAGAAGCTGATGTAGATGACTTCTCCAAATCTTTCAGGCCAAAGTGGTCCCGAATGGAGGATTCTCCCAAGCAGCCTCTAGGGGCTCTAAGGGAACAGGGTCCCCCCGCAAGAAGGTGATTTGTGGTGTCTCCTTGTCTAAATCAGATACTGTTCCCTCTGGGAACTTTAAAGGGCAGGCCTTTCTAACCATCTCTGCTCCCCTGTCTGTGTTCCTTTTGTGACCCCCTTCTCCCTCTGACTTCCTCCCCTTCTCTCTCCCCTCCAAAGCTGTTCCTGCCCTCTGGGCTTTGAGGGAGAACGATGCGAGATCAACCCAGATGACTGTGAGGACAATGATTGTGAGAACAACGCCACCTGTGTGGACGGAATCAACAATTACGTGTGTGTGTGCCCACCCAACTACACAGGTACAGGGAGGCAGAGGGGGATGGGCTCCCGCTTACATGCCCTAGGACTCCGCCATCTGCCCTATCGCCCTTCTCTCCCACGTGCCCCCATCCGTGTCAGTCCCCAACAGCAGAATCACAGACTCCTCTCTGCCTTGAAGCAGGTTTTGGACCAACCAGTGGGCTGTTTATTTAGCTGATGACTACTCTGTTCACTGTGGGCTGTTGCCCTTCCCAATGGTGCTTGCGCCTGGCAAAGTGATCACTTATGCTGTGTTTGCCTTCTGTTCCCAAAGCTAATTGCTTTTTTTCCCCCCTCCAAACCTATTTGATATATTAACAGCTTCTAATGAGGACAGTTAAATAAGCCATTAGATTGAGAAATGAAGTGTCACTAGTCACCACAGGTATAACCTGGGAGTTAACAGCTCATCAGTGGACCTCTGCCAGTTCAGTTCAAGTCAACAAACATTTATTAGGTGCCAGCCCATGTGCTAGGCACTGAGGGGAGGCAGAGATGAATCAGGCATAGTCCCTGACCTGAGGGTGCTTGCAGTCCACTTCCATGGAGAGATGAGATGGGGACACCAATAACAGTCATACAAAGTTAACACTATGAGTAGGCCGAGATGCCGTGGCATGGGAAAGTTGAGAGGGACGGTCTTAGAGACTGGGTCTTCCCTCTCCAGCCCTCATACCTTCCTTTTTCACTCTCTTGCTCAGAGGACTAAAATTAATTCAGTCGCTACTGGAAAAGCCACAACAACCTCCCTCCTGTGGCTCCACTCACAGTCCCTGTGACTGCCTGCACAAGGCTTCTTAAGCTTTTTTTGTGACATGGACCCTTTCAGTAATCTGGTGGGACCTGTGGACCTTTTCTTGGAACAAGATGTTCAAATGCATAAAGTAAACTAAGAAGGATTACAAAGGAAACCAATCATATGGAAGTACAGTCATATATGTAATATACATATGTATACACACACACACACATATATATATACATACACATAAACATACATACATATATATGTATATGTACATTATATATATGTACATTATATATATATATATATATATATATATATATATATATATATATATATATTCCTGAGTTCAAATCTGTCATAACTGTGTGAGCTTGGGCACATCACTTAACCCTGTTGGCCTCAGTTTCCTCATCTGTAAAATGAGCTGGAAAAAGAAATGGCAAGCCATTTTAGCATCTCTACCAAGAAAACCCTAAATGGAGTCACAAAGAGTTAAATACAACTGGAAATTACACACACACACACACACACACACACACACACACACACACATATATATATAAAGAATACAGAACTACAGACTGCAGTTGAGAATCCGGGCCTAGACCTCTGCTCTGTTCCCTGGCAACCACCCCCCAGCCCTCCTTCCCATTGAATGTAAGGTGCTTGAGGGTAGGTCTGTCTCGTTTTTGGACTGGTATCCCTAGTACTTAGCACATAGTGATTATGATTTAAAGTAAAATTCCCGAGAGCTTGTTTCCAGGCTGCCGTGTGTGTCCTTTGCTAAGAGTCACAGGTCAAAGCAAGAGTGGCTGGGTCTGAGAAGCCTAGTCCGTGTTTGGCTTTCCTGCTCCCATGTGGACAAGCGCGAGTCACTGCTGCTCAGTGGGTGGAGAGCAGGCCTTACCATCAGGAAGACTGAGGCTCATGTCCAGTTCTGACATGTATTGGCTGGGTGACTCTGGACAAGTCATTTCACCTCTCAGTGGTCTGGGCGACTTTCTAAGGCTGTAAGTTGCAGAGCAGCTGACAACCTACATGGGTAAAAGGAGTTGCCTCACCTGGAGTTCCCCATTCCAATTAAATCTCAGGTCCAAAAAGAAAAAGACAAAAAGTGAACAAATACCAGTACTGTGACTAAATGAGACTTGCCTGTGTGTGTGGAGGACATGGGCATCTTTCTTCCATGAGGTATATGGAGAAGCTGAGGGCTGGGAGTAGAATGGGTCCAAGAGAGAGAAAACTGGTTTTCAGATTGTCACTATCTTGTTTTGAAGCCTGGTGACTCAGTGTCTCTGCCTAAAGTCCCGGGACAGCCAGGGCTCGTCTCTCCTGCTTGACATTCCCCTGTGGCATCCTGACATTTCTGTTCTGTGCCCCTCTTCCAGGAGAGTTGTGTGATGACGTGATTAACCACTGCATCCCTGGGATAAGCCTGTGCCAGCACGAGGCCAAGTGTGTCTCCCTGGACAAAGGATTCAGGTAACACCCAGGCTCCCAGCACATGTGCCCTGATACCTGGGGCTCTGCAGCCTGGAGTTCAGTGCAATGAGGCGTCGGGAGTGTGAGTGTATCCCTGTGATGCGTATGCCTATGGTGTCTGTGATTATGGTTTTGCGTATTGTGCGTGTGTGTGTGTGTGTGTGTGTGTGTGTCTGTGTGTCTGTGCAGGTAGGGGTTTGCTCCTGTGTAGACATGTATACTTACATGTGCCTGATGTGCTTCGGTGTCTGGCATATGTGTTGCTGTTACCTCAACAAATGTGTGTCTATTTAGATATGTGATGTTCACGTGTGTGTATGCCTTTGTGGTGGTTTGTGTGTGTTTATGTGTTGTGCCTGTGTGTTTGTCTATTCAGGCATGAATAGGCACGGAGAATCCGTGAGTTCTGTAGGCAAATGCCATTGTTTTTCCTTCCCTGGAGGGGTGACCGATAGACCACAAGTACCTCTGTGTGGGAAATGCACGATTCTGCTCAGATGCAGGCATGGGGGCATGGGGGCATATGCATGTTCATTGACTTTCTTTCTCTCTTCCTGGGCTGGTTTTATTTTATGGAAGCAAGGAGTTGATGTGGGAAGGGAGAGAGACAGAAAGGCCTGGGAAGAGCCACAGGGCA